GGATGAGAGGAACAGGTGGCCCATGGAGGTATGGAAGGACACGTGTGCCTCCCTCCTGGCCTGACCTAACATTAGGTCCTCAGATGTCAAAGAACCTGTGTCCGTGAAAGACTTCGAGAGAGCCTGGATGAAGAAAAACAGTTGGGATGAAGGCCAGCTCCTCTCCTAACCTCCGGGGCAGTTCCTACCCATTCGGAGCCAGGGGAAACAGCAGGAATAAGTGTGGTACTCTGGAAGCAGCCTGAGAAGACAAGGTCCTCACTGAGGACACAGGAGTGCACAGTCCTTGGATGGTTTGTGGAAGAGAAGCTCACAGCAGAAGAACGTCAAGACACCTGGTCCTGCACGGTCCTTCCTAAGGACACTTAACAGTAAGAGAGGAGGGGTCAGAGGAGGGGGCAGTGGTCCCCAGCCCTGTAGGGGGAATTAGAGCTATCCTGACTGGAGCTCTCTGTTAGAGGGATAGCCTGAGAACGCTTGGGACATACCTGTGTTTTCAGTGGCTTTCCTGAACATCTGAAAAAGTACATTGTTTTTCTTATTACGAATGCAGGTAGAGATGGGGAAATTCCCGTGTACATTGCCAGCCTCGGAATTGAAGGTGGACTTGGGAAGGAATGATTTCCTTTACATATTCGTTTCCCTTTTCTCTTCCAGCATTCTCGGTTCCATAATAAACATTCAACCTCAAATGATCACCACATTGTGTGGAATAAATGGTTTATCTTTACATTCCTGCAGGCACTTGCTTTCTCTCTCTCTCTCTTTCTCTCCGTCCCCCCACTTCCCCCTCTCTGGTTCTCTCCCTCTCTCTATGAGAAGGAAATTTTGCCTACAAGCTTTTTGACTTGGCTAGAAAATAGCATAACCAGTGTGGGGCAGCTCTTCTGACCCTTTGGGTCTACATCAAGGATGAAAGTTTGTTCTTACATAAGGGAGTATAAATGGTGGCACTGTTCTGATGAATTCCCATCAATGGGCTGCCTGCAGAAACACGTGGGCCATGAGTCAGAAGCACTGTGATAGCCTCTCCATCTCACCACCTTTCTCACCAGCACCCTCTTCCATTGCCACTACAACACTTGCCTCTGTCCTTCAACATTCCAAAAGCTTTCACTCTCCTCTGAGGTCAGCAATATATTTAAAGCGCTCGTTTTCATCCTGTTCCCATCGGTAAGATTTAGTTTAATGTAAGACACTCAGAAGGGAAATTCCATTCACTTTTCTTCTGGGAAATCAGCTTCTGTGTATTCCACGTCCACACCCCTTGCCTCACATTTCTGGTAAAATTCAAAAGTTCATAATTTTGCTGAAACAAAGCCACATCTTAGGCAAACAGGCACACCTCTTCACATCAGTATATGGTTCTCTTATTAAAGACAGGGCTTGGGGTTTGTTCTTATTTTATTTGTTTAGTTACTCTTTCATAAGATCTTAACAACTTGAATTTTCACACTTTTTAAAAATTGCTAATTCTTTAAAGTAGAGTGAAAAATATGCAGTCGTGGTTTCAATGAACTTAAACAGCTCAACAGTGTCCCCTGGTGGCCAGGAACACAGACACAGGATGCTTGAGCTACGGGGCAATATTTGGCGTACAAAACAAGGTAGAAGTGTGTCTCATCAAGATGAAACTCCCTCTCCCCAACTCAAAAAATAGGAAATGCTAATGTGAATCAGCAAAGCAAGCCTTCAAAACATGAGAAGGACCAAAGAGTAGGAGACTGAATAGCTATCCATTTTGATAAGTCACCATGGGAAAAAATGCCCAAACTGAACATCTCTTTCCAGCTCCAAAGTTGGTGAATTCTTTTCGGTCTAAAGCCTTTATTAACTAACCAGGCATTTCTTCAATGCCAATACCACCCGCTGGCCCTTTGGGGGTTAGCCGTCGTATGCATTCATTACAAAAATATTCTTTTGTTGTGCCATCAGTGTCCTTATGTGTGCTCACACTGTCCTTGTGTGTTGGGGATTCAATGTAGAACACACAGACAAAAATCTCTGTCTTCAAAGAGTGCTTATTTTAGTAGGGGAAAAGAAAATAAACAAGTAAATTTTTAAAAATACAAGTCCTGAAAATGAGTTCTATGAAGAAATTCAAGCAGAGGAAGAGAATAGAGTGATGGGGTGGCAATAGCAGACGATTTTTGAAAGGATGGGCAGGGAGAGGCTCTCTAGGTAATGGCACTTGAGCAGAAACCTGAGTGATTATAAAGAAGCCATGTGGAGAGAGTGTCCCACGAAGATTACGCAGCAAATGGAAAGACGTGGATGCAAGAACAAGTTTGACCCGTTTGAGAGATAGCAAGGAAGGATGCTGCTGCTTTTAGTGAGAAAGGGAGAGGGCAGAGGGAGATGAGGTCAATGAGGTAGGCAGGGGCCAGACTCCATGTTCCATGGTAAGGAACGTGGATTCCATTAGAACACTAATGCAAACTCATAGGACCGTTTTGAGCTGGGGATGATATGTTCTTATATGATTTTAAATTAATTTTTATTGGAGTATAGTTGATTTACAATGTTGTGTTAGTTTCAGTTGTACAGCAAAGTGAATCAGTTATTCATATATATACATCCACTCTTTTTTAGATTCTTTTCCCATATAGGTCGTTAGAGTATTGAGTAGAGTTCCCTGTGCTATACAGTAGGTCCTTGTTAGTTATCTATTTTATATATAGTAGTGTGTATATGTCAATCCCAATCTCCCAATTTATCCCTCCCTTCCTTTCCCCCTGGTAACCATGAGTTTGTTTTTTACATCTGTGACTCTGGTTTGTTAATAAGTGCATTTGTACCATTTTTTTAGATTCCTCATATAAGCAATATCATGATATTTGTCTTTCTCCGTCTGACTTACTTCATTCAATATGACACTTTTTTTTTTTTTTTTTTTTTTTGGTTTTTTGGTTTTTTCCTTTTTTTTTTTTTTTTTTTTTTGCGGTATGTGGGCCTCTCACTGTTGTGGCCTCTCCCGTTGCGGAGCACAGGCTCCGGATGCGCAAGCTTAGCGGCCATGGCTTACGGGCCCAGCAGCTCCACGGTATGTGGGATCTTCCTGGACAGGGGCACGAACCCGTGTCCCCTGCATTGGCAGACTCTCAACCACTGCACCACCAGGGAAGCCCAATATGACACTCTGAGTGATGTTTTTAAAGTTATGGTGAAGATTAAGACTTAGGGCAGCAGGTGATAGGCAACTGTGAAAACAGGGAGAAGAGTTAGGATGCTATTGCAGGAGTCCAAGCAAGAAGTTGCTGGCTTGGATTAGGTTGCTAGTGGTAAAGGCAAAGGTGGGGAGAAGTGGCTGGATTCAGAACGTTTATTTCAGAAACAAGCCAGCTTGTTGATGGACTAGAAATGGTGGCAGAGACAGAATCAATTATGATTCCTTTTTGGCCTGAGCAGTTGGTGAATAGGAATGCCAATAACTGAGATAGAGACGCCTGGGTGGAAATGGATTTGGGGGTGAGGGAAGAGGTGAGAAATCAAAAGTTCTACTGGGTTTGCCTATTAGATGTTCAATAGGATATGTTTAGGAGACAGGTGGATACATATTTGGGAATGCTCAGCACATAGGTAATGTTTATAGCCGTGAGACTGGTAGAGATCGCCTAGGCAGAAAGAGTAAATAATGAAGAAAAAGGAATAGAAGAAGGCGAGGCGAGGGGCATCAATTAAAGTATTCGGTTGGCCGAAAAGTTCATCTGGGTTCTTTGGAAGCTCTTATGGAAAAACCCGAACGATATTTTTGGCCAACCCAATAGATGGACCTAGTGAAAAAAAAAAACTGAGAAGGAACAGCCAGCAAGGTAGAAGGATCCAAAAGCCAAGAGAAAAGGTGTTTCAAGGATGGAATGCCAAATGCTGTAGAGAAAATCCTATAAGAAAAAAATTGGGCAGTGGGTTTTGCAAGATGGAGACACTTCCAGTAAAGCATTGAGGCCAAATGCCTCTGGACTGGAACCAGTTAAAGAAAGAAGAGGAGGTAAGGATGTGGAGCCTACACAACATTCTTTCAAGGAGTTTTACTGTAAAGAGGGGCTGAGAGAAGGCAGAGTAGCTGGAGGGAATATGGGATCAAAAGAAGTGTGTTTATCTTTTCTATGTTTTCGTTTAAAAATGAGATATTACAACATGCTTGTGCAGTGTTGGGGCTAATTCTTTACTGGAGGGAATTGAGGAAGAGGCAAGAAGGGATGACGGGGTTGAGGGAGGATTCACCTTAGGAGTGGGGACAAGAGAGAAGATAAAATATAGGTTCTGCACGAAGGCAACAATGGGAGATTTGGGAGTAGAAAGTCCTCACCTGATTACTTCTTTTAAAATTATTTATTTATTTATTTATATACAAAACGTTGTTATTAGTTATCTATTTTATACGTATTAGTGTATATATGTCAATCTCAGTCTCCCAATTCATCCCACCACCACCCCCTCACCTAACTACTTCTAATTCCTCAGTGAGATAAGAAACAAGAAGCTAATAGACTGAATATTAGCTCAGAGTGTGTGTGTTGGAGGATGGAGTGAGCATCACAGATTTGAGGAGACATGAGAAAATGAGTGGAAAGTGAATTTTCTAGGGGACTAGAGTGGGACTGCCAGTCATTTTTCCCTGAGAGTAACCTACTCTTAAGGTACTTGTAACAGAATGACAAATATGTTACTGAGAAAGAAAGAGTAATAGGAAAATTTCTTTTTAAGTATGAAATATTTTAAATATTTCAAATATCCAGAAGGAATTTAACCAACACTCATGTACACACTACCCAGATTTCTTCAATGTTCCTATTTTGTTTCAGGTACCTTTTTAAGAAATAAAACATTGCAGTTCAGGCTGCAGTCCCCTTAGTTCCCCTCTCCAATTTCACGTCCTTCTTCCTCTTTCTCTTAAACTTCATTATATAAAGATAGAAAGTAATAGTGTGCCTCTTTATTTGAGCCTATACAGCTCTGCGGTGACTTTGTTCATCCAAATCCTGTTATTCAAGATTTACCTGTTATCTGCGTTGTCAGGGAGATGACCACAGGAAGTTCAGAAGACAAAGCCTGGATGCTGACACTGTAGTTGGTACCTGGCCGCAGGTCCAAACACATCTCAGGAGCCTGGCTGCTGGCAGTGATATTAAAGACCATTTCCTGGGCAAATTCCTTCTGATACCATCTCTGGCCCCAAACGTGGAACTAAAACATAGAAAAGTTCACCAGGTGAATTGCTAGCTTGAAAGGCTCTGAATGCCTGGATACCTACCCTTTCTCTCACACTCTCTTACTCTTGATTGTAAAGTGCCTTCAGAAAGTGAAATACGGCAGAAAGCAAATATTAGAGTTGTAATACCATAAATATTGTAATTACAGTGTTATCAGTATCATAAACATATTTTTAAATCAAAATGCACAAAAACTCGAGGCCCCAACACCAACAACTTTCTCTTTCTTGTTCTCACACATATAATGGCACGTGCCCAATGTCAAAGTCTGTTGGCAAAACCACAGGAGCAAAACCAAAGAACAGTTTCCTAGAAAGAAAATTAAGAATCTGAACTAAGGCTTCTCCCAGGGCAGAACGTGCATTAGGATAGGGGTCCCCAACCCCTGGACTGCAGACCAGTACCAGTCCACGGCCTGTTAGGAACCAGGCCACACAGTATGAGGGGAGCGGTGGACCGAGCGAAGCTTTGTCTGCCGCTCCCCATTGCTCACATTACCGCCTGACCCATCACCCCACTCCCTGGCGGTAGAAAAAATGTCTTCCACGAAACCGATCCCTGGTGCCGAAAAGATTGGGGACTGCTGCATTAGGGTAATCCTAGTCGGTTTGTTAAAACCTGGGAAGAGTTTTTCTCCTCTGCCCGCCCCCTTCTGACATTCCCTACACTTTACTGTAACATCCCAGCACCTGGGCCAATAGATGCACTTTTCTTCCTACTTAATTGCTTCTAGTAGCAGCTCATCCCATGGTCTTTACCTTTCTTACTCACAACCACATCTAGCTTTAGAAGTTCCCCTTGACTCTCCAGGCAGCACATTCAGACCCTGATCAGAGGCACTGGTGTGGAGAGACACACACTTGCAAAAGTCACAGGCTTCCTTCCATGACACTGCCTGAACATCAGCTCTGCATCAGGCTATGTTGCACAAAGAACCTCTCATGATTTTCTCATCAATCCCCAAGGTCTCTGTCTTCAAATATGCAGCAGAAGTTCCCACTTTCTTGTTTCTTACTGCAGTTGTCACTATAAATCTTCCACTGATAACGGCAGCTATATAAGTAGTTTTTTTGGTTTGTTGATATTTTTTGAACCTCCCACACAAGACAAACACCTATAAACAGAGTAACTTTCAGTAACTTACTAAATACATCTCCTCTATATCAGCTGTCTTCATACTTCTCCATCTCAAGCAGGTTTCATTAAATATTGAAATGTTACTGATGGTCTGTTTTACTGCAAGGGGAAAAGAATGAGAAATCAACTTACACCTTATACCAAAATACTACCTTTTAATTGAACAATATTCCAAGGATAAGCATTTACAGCGGATGACTTCAGCAGTATTTTAATTTAGAAATAAGTGGTAGCAGTCCAAGAAACACCATTTTTATATTTATGTAAACACAGTCCTGATGAAAGATTTAAAATCAAAAGATACCCAGTCTGAGAATCCTTCTTAAAAAATTAGTTAAGTCGATCCACTGCAAATTCCCTTGGTTTGCTAAGCTAAAACAGCGACTCATTGTCCTGGCCTTGGACAACCTCATTTAGACAAACAAGCATCAGTTTGAAATTCTGAGCTGAGAGTAACATTTCCGCAGAGAACTGAGAATTACTCCTTGAGGAAATGAAAAAGGCTACCTCAAGCAGTCAGGCTTTTCATGATGAAAAGGGGGGAGTGGTCGCTCTTGGTTTGGGCTTCCTCATCTCTTATGATCAAAGAAGCATTCAGTGATCTCTGCTCAATTTCATGGTAATGAATCCAAAAGATAGGTCAGTACTGGTACCATATAGTACAGAGGCACATTCCCCCAAGCTTTTTAAAATAAAGACTAGTTATTCAAACAACACTGCAATTCAACTATACTTCAACAAAAAATAAATTTTTAAAAAGACTGGTTATTCAAAACTCTGGTATCAAAGGTAATTTCCTTCAACGATGATCCCGGTCCTTAAACTGAAAATAATACATCAGACTTGCTAAGAAGTTTCATAGGAACACTGTGATGATTAATAAGTGATAAAGAACTCCCAAAGCATGTGAAAAAAAAAGAAAATCTCATGGGAGCCAAACCTTTATTGTGTAAGCCCCTGGACCAACAGGTTCCTATGAATGAAGCCTAGTTGATAGATGTGACCCCTCTTTATGGATGGGGCAGCTTTGCCCAGAGAAAACCTGTTCCACAGGTCACAAGCTATTCTTCAAATGCTGTAAGACCGAGTAAGGAATAAAGTGTGGATGATTCAGGATAAAGCAATCTTTAAGGAAGGTAAGGAAGATGGTTTTAGAGATAAGTAGTAGTGGCCCAAGGAAACTCACATTTATGAAACTTTCAAAAAGCATATAACTTCAGTAGTATTTAAACAGTTCCAGACCATACAAAAAGGTAGAAAGTTTCCCAATTCACTCAGTATGACTGGATAATCCACAATGCCCAACGTGTACAAGGACGGCACAACCAATTACTAAACACACTATGCCAAATTCACTTATTAATATAAATACAAAAATAAAATATTAACAAATAGAAGTCAGCAGTACGTTCAAAGAACAATACACTATAAACAAGGGAGATTTACTCCAGGAATACAGAGATGATCATTACTAGGAAAGCTATTAATAGATTGAAAGAGAAAAACCATATGGTCACTTTTATAATCATAATGGTTAATACATCTAATGTACATTCCTGCCTAAAAATCTTAGCAAACTAGGATTTAATTTGATAAAAACTCCTTGATTTAAAAGAATGTTTATTAGAAACCACCACACTCAGTGGTAAAACAATTTCTAGCAAAGTTAAGAACAATCCAAGGATGCATGGTTTCACAGCTATTATTTAGCATTAGTCAGGAGATTCTAGACAATGCAGAACGACGCAAGGAGAAAAATGAGCTATAAATACCAGAAAGAAAGGGAACAAATTATGCAACTGACAGTAAATTAAAAAAAAAAAAAACTGAAAAACAAATATGCAATTGTTTGAAAACGACAGAAAAATAATAGGAGTTTGGCAAAATGCACCCAAAGACAAGAACATAGAAAAACTAATCGTTTTCTACATATCTGTAAGCACAAGTATGGTAGGCTGAATAACGGTCCCTTCAAAGATGTTCACATCCTAGTCCCTGGAATCTGTAACCATGTTACCTTACATGGCGTAAAGACTTTGCAAATGTGATTACAATAGGGAGATTATCCTGGATTATCCAGATGGGCCCAATGCAGTGACAAGGGTCTTTAAAAAAGGGAGACAAGAAGATCAGGGCCAGAGAGAACTGAAGGTTGAACTGATGAGCTTTAAAGATGGAGGATGGGGCCACAAGCCAAGGAATGTAGGCAGGGTCTAGAAACTGGAAAGAGCAAGGAAATAGATCCTCCCTTTGAGACCCCACAATGAACACAGGCCTGCTGACACAAATAAACTAAAACCACAAATAAAATATAATAGAAAAATTAAAAGATTTCTATTCACAAGAGAAGAAACCATGAACAAACTTCAGATACCTAGCAATAAATGTAACTAGAAATGTCCAAGACTTACAAGAAGATCTTTTTCCCCCAGAAGGACATAAAATAAAACAACAAAGAGAAAATGCCACATCCTTGAATGGAAGGATTGAAAAGTGAAAAGATATCAATTCTCCACCAATTAACCTGTAAGTGGAATGTACTTCCAATGGTGATTCCAATGGACTTTCTTGGAACGTGATAAGTTTACACATTATTCAGTGAATAGAAAGTTCTCACCATGTGCCAGGCATGCTTTGGGGCTAAGGATAAAGTGGTGAGAAAACAAAGTCCCTGCACCTAATGGAATTCATTCTAGTGAGAAAGGCAGAAAATAAACAAGTGAAAAAATAAATTTTAAAAATATAGGGCTTCCCTGGTGGCACAGTGGTTAAGAATCCGCCTGCAAATGCAGGGGACACGGGTTAGATCCCTGGTCCGGGAAGATCCAACATATGCTGTGGAGCAGCTAAGCCCGTGCACCACAACTACTGAGCCTGTGCTCTAGAGCCCACGAGCCACAACTACTGAAGCCCACGTGCCATAACTACTGAAACCCGTGCACCGCAACAAGAGAAGACAGCGCAATGAGAAGCCCGTGCACTGAAACAAAGAGTAGCCCTGCTCGCCGCAACTAGAGAAAGCCCACGCACAGCAATGAAGACACAACACGACCAAAAATAAACAAATAAAATAAATAAATTTATTTTTTTAAGTATATATATATATAATTTTGTGTACTGGTAAAGACTATGAAAAGCATCATACAAGAATAGAAAGGATGGTTATGGAAGGTCCTCTGTTGAGGTAATATGTGAGCAGAGACCTGAAGGATGAGTGAGTGAGCATCAAGAGTGGAGGAAGAGGGGTCAGACAGAGGGGGCTCCAATGTCAAAACCCCACATGCAGGAATCAGCTTGGCACGCTCAATGAACAAAAACACAATTACTGCTAAATTTTGGGGGGAAGATTAATGAGAATAACAAGAAAAAATTAAAATAAAAATATTGAAACAGGACATAACCAGGTTTCAGTAACTATTATAAAATTATGACAGTATTTCTTAACCTTTTTTCATTATAGCCCTACACGGAGCCTTTTTAAACATTTTTTCCCCTAATCTCTCACACTTTATAAAATTTTAATACCACAGGTATGTATATGTTTCTTATTTACTATATGTTTGTCTATGATTCATATATATATATATTTAGTGTTAATTTCCTGGGTTTTGTTTGTTTGTTTGTTTGTTTTGGCTGTGTTGGGTCTTCGTTGCTGTGCCCAGGCTTTCTCTAGTTGCGGCAATGGGGGGCTACTTTTCACTGCGGTGCACGGTCTTCTCGTTGTGGTGGTGTCTCTTGTTGCGGAGCACGGGCTCTAGGCATGCAGGCTTCAGTAGTTGTGGCTCGCTGGCTCTAGAGCACAGGCTCAGTAGTTGTGGCGCACGGGCTTAGTTGCTCCACAGCACGTGGGATCTTCCTGGACCAGGGCTCGAACCCGTGTCCCCTGCATTGGCAGGCGGATTCTTAACCACTGTGCCACCAGGGAAGCCCTATGATTCATATATTAAAAGAATAGAATTAAAAGAAAAGAATTGTTCCACCCCTCGAGAAGCAATTTTTGCCCGTTTAGCTGATTTTGCCCCCCCACTCCCTGGGGTGAATTGAGAATGCTAAATTGCTAGTTTTGTTGCTAGCAAAGGAATAAACAAAGAGGTGAATGGAGCAGAGCAGAACCCAGAAACCAATCTATCTATGCATCGGAATTTATATAAGATAGGGGTGGACTTTCAAATCAGTGGGAAATAAACTGAGTTGGGAAATAGTTATCCATAGAAATAAACTAATATTAGATCCCCACCTTGACATACAGGCAAAAATGATTGCAACTGTAATAAATTTTTAGTTAAAAAATATACTAGAAAAGAATATAGGAAAACAGTTCTATAATCTTGGTTAGGAAAGAAATAATAAGAAAACTAGGAAAAATTTTTTTTAATTTGACTAAATAAAATCTTAAATTTTCTTTAGGGCAAACGATTCAACAACCTAAGTTTGAAAGACAAGCAACAAAGTGTGAAAAAATAATTGTAACATATTTGAAAAAGTTGATGGCCCTGATACCTAAACAACAATTACCATGAAGAAAAATACCACCAACAACACATGAAAAGGAGCAATAAATAGAAAAAGTGATTCACAGGAAAACTGTAATAGGACAATCAATAAGCAAAGAGGTACAAATTAAACCAAAATAAAATATGTTTTTCACTTATTAGGCTCTCAAACATTAAAAAACTGGAATATCCTGCATTGGTGAAGGTGTTGGAAAACAGGTGTGTGTGTAAATTGATACAGTCTTTGTGGAGAGGAATTTATGAGGCTCTTTATCTTGGTAATTCCACTCTTAAGACTTAATTCTACAGAAATATCCTGCCCAATTATGCAAAGATACAGTACATTTCATCAGACCTAAGATACCATTCTTGTAAGATGCACTATTATTCTGTTTTATTAAGAAAGAAAAAATACTGCCAAGTAAACTCTGTCATGAATATTTTCTTGTCTCAGAATTATTTTATACTGGTTGAAAGAGTTTTTTCAAACCTATAGAAACATTAAAATTTTATAATATATAATAAAAGAAAAATCAAAAAATTGATTGAGACACTACTAAAATTTCTCCATATTCAGTATGTAACAATTCCCAATCACTTTTCAAT